AAATATGTTCTGCTTTTCCATACATTTCTCATGGGAGTAGGATGTACATAATATGTACTTAAGCCTTGTTTTTTTTAATACATTAATTAATACATTTGCTCTTTTTATTCTTTGCTAGATAGATGTGCACAGATCCTTACAATCCTATCCTGGTACTCATGGAATTTTCTTCAATCTTACATCATATATCTCCTGTAGACACAAACCTTGTAATGGAAGAAAATTAGTGGATGACCCTGAATGCCTTTATAATTGCCATTTATGGAGGAAAGATTTTCCGAAGGAGGAACGGACTGTGATAGTGTGATTGAAGGTTAAATGAACAAATAATATATTCACATTTTTGACAGAGTGGAAATTGTGTAAGCAGTGTCAGTGTAGGTAGTGATTAACGATATTGTTGCATAGAGTTACTTTTGCTTTGTACTTATAAGTAGCGAAAAACCAAAAGAAACTTTACTTGACCTGTTTTATCATTCAACCAATATTGTGAATAGATAGGGCCAAACTTTTGGCAAACTTTGCGTACCATAGTGTACACAGCTATTTCAATTAATTTCAGTGGTGTAGTGGAGGGGGGCTCAGCCCCCTTGTTAAAATTTCATGTTTACTTGGGGGGCCAAGACCCCCCCCCCCCTATAATTGTTGAATAATCTTAAACGAGAATGTTCTTTAGAATTGCATCTACAAAAAGTGGTAGAAACCTTGAATTACATACCCTTTTGAGATGCTCAGAATATTTATATTACTAACAGCAATTGTTTTTAATAAGCATAATTTTAAATGTTTGCCCCACAATTATTAGAAAAAACCCAACAAAATTTAGAATTTCCAAAATATCATATTGTAAACACCCCCCCCCTGCCAGTTCAGGACACTTTTGGAGAACAAGGACAAAACACCCCTGTCTTTATCCCATCAGGTATACCAATTTCAATTAGTTGGCCAAATTTTCAAAATATTCAAGTGTCTCAGATTGAAAAGTAATAGTGGTGGGGAAAAGTGGCAGTGAAAAATGCTCCGCTCACCAACAATTTTGGGAAAAGGAATATTAATTAGCGACTTATCAATTGTTTGTCCCTCAGGAACAATCTCACGTCCCCCCCCAACCTCCTCCCAGTCGTAAAACTGAAGTTTTGCCCCCTGTTGGAGAGCCCCCCGCCCCCTAACATTCCAGGGCTACACCACTGATTAAGGTTGTCCCCGACGTCGAATACGAGCGAGAAAGGCAAATTCATTAATTTGTTAGCGATTTCCACCAGCCTTTCGCGCTTGTATTCGACTTTTCCGCTTTGCTCGGGGACAACCTTAATTGAAATAGCTGTATAGATTATAGCCTATAGGCCGCATTTTGATTAAAGATCCCAGATTTTCCATTCATATTTGTAAATATTTTAAAGTACATGTAATAAAGTGTATGCACGATTCCAGTATTAAAATATTCATTTCTTTTATCTGCAATTCTGTAACACATTTATAAGCGTGTTTCTATTATAAATCTTATTTGTGTGTTGTTTAGCACACATAAATGTGTGTTTTAGCAATCCACTATTATGTGCTAAATAACACACTTTTTTAGATAACACACTTAACAATAACACACTGTTGTGTGTTTTTAAACCCACTGTTGTGTGCTAAATAACACACATTTTTCAATAACACACGTAAAGCGTGTTGATTTTTGGACAAGCCAAAAACACACCCTAGGGTGTGTTATATAACACACTATAGTGTGTTATATAACCCGTGCTAATTTCTGGACAAAATAAGTATGTTATATAACACGCTTATTTTTAAGAGTGCAACGGAGTGGAAATCATTTTTAATTACAATATCAATTTCCTTGATCTTTTGTTATGAGGCAAAAACAAAAAAACTATTTGGCTGCTCGTCCCACTATTAACGATTTTTTGGGTTTCCGAAATCCGAACTTTTTTTTTTCTTTTCCCACCGCAAATCACGCACCTTTCACTCCTGAAATTTGCCATACTTTTTGAGATCAGTGAAGTAGTCCACCCTTGGATCATAGCCACGCGCCGGCGATTATCGGTGAACTTTAGACTTCGCTAATGCTTTCCTTTCCCCAGGGGTTATATTGCCGGGCGGAATTAGTACCCTCGCCCTATAGTAACACGCAATTCACTGCCTCTTTCAATTGGAAAATTATAGTGAACACATTAACTGCATCAAAACATATTTATTGAATTTTACGGGAAAAGGTTCGGCCTAATGGTTTGAAAGCTGTGTGAAATTAATGAACACCGCGTTAGTCCACAAAAGAAATGTTTTGCAGAATTTACAGTATAGCAGTCCACAATTAAAATATTTATTGTTAACTCTTATTATTTTGAAAGGTTATCTGTTCGTGTCGTCCAGTCGTCCAGAGCTGGTATGGGGAAAAGTTTGATAGTAAAGCATTTGGCAGAACAATTGACTAACTTTCCAAATAACAAAAAGCTTCGCAAAGGTTTAATGTCTTCGTTATGTCCGACTATTCCTGTACATGGAATCGCTGTGAATGGTGATCGTGTTACCCGTACTCTTCTTACCCATGCTGTCAAGAACGATATTCCTGTTTCAAGGATTTTTCATCTGGACATGTCTCAATCGGTTAGTAGCCCACATTGTGTCATCGGATCGATGTCTGTGTCTCACATCAGTGTTGAAAAAATGCCTTGTGTGTGGTTATACTAAAGTGGCGATGTCACGCAGTTTTTGAATATTGGTGAAACACTTAACTTTTCAGTTAAAACAACAAATTAACAGTTTTAATTAAATACACAAAATATCGTATTCTACCATTTTGCACAAAAGTTTTATATATGGTTCAATCATTTTGAAAATTTTCATTGTTGGAAAACAGGAATTTCGTGACAATATTTTTAGATTAGGAAATCGTTCGCAATTATGACGTCGCCATCATCGGCTGGATATCTGTGGCGTTTCAAAAGCATGACTAATATTTTAGATTTTTTTCTTTCTGCCTGCAGTTTCCCCCATCTTTTATTTCTTTTTTTTTTCATAACATTGGCCTATAAAGACTCTAAAATGTCAGAAGTTAGTCAAGGCTCTTTTTTAAAATCCACTTCCAGCCGAGATTTTGGAGAAATATAAATAAAACAGATTCCGAAGAGAAAATCATGGATTAAAATCCAAGATATGGATTAAAAACCAAGATATGGATTAAAATCAGGACAAAACTTTGTATGGTATATTACATCGATCTTGCATGATTTTAAAGATATGTTTCTTCCGAATTTTATTATATTGTCTTTTCTGTTAAATAACAATTCTTCACATTTTGATCTAAATAAAAAATTCTCACATTTCAAATAAGTGTGACGAGCCACTTTAAGTGAGATGGAAAAGTAAATTGACAAGGAGTTATTAATATTGGACATTTTGCTATTAAATTATTACTTTGGGTAATTTTCTTTCGTATAAACAAGACTTCTTCATGTACAAAATAATCATAGTAATAATTTCAAAAAATATCCAAATTGAAGGAATTGCAATATGATCTGGGTCAATTTGAAAGCTTATTTAGGGTGCATAACGTTTTGTTGCTGATTAAGCATCTTTTAACAACCTGAGCCACGATGAAATGTGTTTTAGAGGCCAACTTTTATTTTGTCCTAATTTCATTCTATATAAAATAGAAAATGCATGCATGCAGAAACCCTCGCCTTCTGACAAAACCATTGTATTTTCCGAACATGAAGTATTTAAAGTAGTTGTTATGGTAACACAATAATTTTTTAAGAACATTTTTACAAATGAAAAATCCCCTAAAGATATCACTTTAATTACAAAATTACCTACCAATTTCCCAAACATATCTTTGTTAGGTATGTTATTATACGTAATATAAGCTTCAATTTAAGGTAAAATTCAACCACAAACGCTTCGCAAAAGGTTTTAAAGTGTTCTCTATAAAACTAAACTGCCTTTTGGCTTTATCGATAAACTTTGAGTTTGAAATAAAATGATTTCAAATTCTCGCATGCAAATAACTTTGCTTTCTTTTTTATTTAAAAAGTTTAATATAATAAAAAAGGGCAGTCAATAAAGTATACACTGAAATTATATGCTGTCTTGTTTCGTTTATACGCAACGTCTATACGATCGGCTTTTAAAGCAATTATAAAGCAAACAATACATGAATATTTAAAACAAACTTACCTTCGTTAACGTCGGCGCCTTTGCTCCCTTCTTTTAGCTGATTCTTTCGCCCTTTTTTCTTAAAAAGCTTTTGAAATTTACAAAATATTGCAAAAATAAAATATATTTGCAAGAAATCATCAAATCAAGAAATGTTTGCTATTTCGCTGTCATCATGCAGTCGTTATAATGCAAATTTTAAATTTGACCAATCATTGTTCGCGCTATTCATGACAGTTCACCATATTTTTGAGATCAGTGACAATGACCACCCACCGTTGGTCACCCACGCCCGCGATCATTGATAAACTTTAGACTTCGCTAATGCTTTCGTTTCCCCGGGTGTAAATAGCCGGGGGTAATTAATACCCTCGCCCCGGGCTTACGCCCGGAACGGCGCTCCGCGCCGTTGGCTTGGGGAAAAAACAGTTATATGCACCAGAAGAGTTTTCTCATCTTTTTATTTCATTCATTATCATCAAGTAGATTTTAATTGGTAATTTCTTGTAACAAACTACTCTATAACAATATTGCTGTAACATTCACGTTAACCAATACGTTCATGAACAATTTCATTGTGAATTCTAATTGCTATTCGAACTCAAGACACATGGTCTTGGATAATAAAAGTGCATGCATACATAATTTTCATTTCTTGCCCCTGACAACAAATCTTTTCTTTCATAACTTCATTAAGGTTGTAAAAGGATTGGATAATTTCTTGTTTAAACTTGTCATCTTGCGAGTTGTGAAAGATCATGGTGGAAATGTCTGGAGAAGAAAACCAACTGATATGTATGTCGTTGAAATTACAACAGACAAGACGTTTGAAATATTAACAGCCGAGGATGCTCTACCAGATGGGAGCTACAATCAGGTAAGCGTTCACTGGGTGACTTACATGCATCCACCTCGCTAGGCAGAATCCTTGACGAATTGTATTTTATATGTATTGTATAACCGTTGAAAATTTTGTAGCAAATATTCCTTTAGCAGATAAAGAAATATCCGGATATTTTGGACGCTCTCTGGTTTAAAATATTTATTTCACAACCTTTTGACTGCCAGACTGCATTTTTTTAACGGGGGTATTACAATGAGAAAAATTACAACAGTTTACAATACATGCTTCCGGAAAGTACATCACCTTGACTATACAGGGTGTATAAAAGAAAACTGAACAGATAAGAAATTGCTCTCAATTTCGCAAAACAGCTATTAGTATCCAGTTTTTGATGTATATAGCTTCTTTGGGTACTTATAATGTTGAGTACTTATAATGTAGAATAATGAAAAAAAAATCTCGAACTCAAATTTTGTGAACCAGGGGGGGGGAGTGTCTTTTCCAACAAACTGAAAATGGCTTGCGCACGAAATTTAAAAGCTTTAATCATATTTTGAGTTAATAGATGGAAATTTAGTTGGGTTTTTAATCACTGTACAAAATTTCAGACAATTTGCTTTAGTTTAAGCCCTTTAACTATTAACGCAAACGTACATTTTTTCCTAAAAATCAGCTATTTGCATGCTTAATTAATGCCTTTGCCTAAATTGTATATGTCAGTAATATGCAAATTAAGTAAAGGCATTCATTAAGCATGCGAAAGGCTGATTTTTTAGGAAAAAAATGTACGTTTGCGTTAATAGTAAAAATGTACGTTTGCGATTTCTTAAACTAAAGCAAATTGTCTGAAATTTTGTACAGTAATTAAAAACCCAACAAATTTTCCATCTATATGAACTCAAATATATGATTAAAGCTTTTAAATTTCGTGCGGAAGCCATTTTTAGTTTGTTGAAAAAGACACACCCCAATTAATGGTTCACAAAATTTGAGTTCGAGAAATTTTTTTCATTATTCTACATTATAGGTACCCAAAGAAGCTATATACATAAAAAACTGCTTACTAATAGCAAATTCATATCTGTTCAGTTTTTTTATACACCCTGTAAAGCCTCGTTTTCGTGATTGCAAACGTTGGACTTACTCCACATATACAAAAACGAGGCTTTATGGCCAAAGTGACACACTTTCCGGAAGGATGTATTGCAATATATGGAAGCAATTTTATGACTGACATGCAATGACTGATATAACTTATAATTTATCTCATTATAATACATATGTTGACGACTGTATTCTGGCAGTTGAAAGCTTGAGAAATAAATAAATTTTTAAACCAGATCTGCAAAAAACTCAATATGAATAATTCTGGTTTTGCCTCAAACATATTTAAAACAAATATCCCTTAAATTCACATCTTTATTAGAAGATAACGTAAATCAATAGCTGCAACAATAAAGTAATGTAAAATTGCAATTATTCTTCTGCATTCCTTGAGTGCCTTGTTCCGAATTTTTTACAGAATACGAGAAAACGACTTGCAACAAACAAGTACTCGTTTGTAAAATTTCTTCCTCGAACAAACTGCTTGACACCCAGAGAAACGTTGGATAACATAAAGCAGAACAAGCAAGGTAATATTTTCAAATTTTGTGTGGAAATTAGTTTCTGAAGGCATAACTTGTGAAATTGACGAATAAATAATTATTTTCTTATTTGATTAAATTACAAATTAAGGTTACTTTACAAACCTCTACAAAGGAACAATAAGAATGCTAATAAGTTATAATTAAGCACTAGCACTACGTCTTCTGTTGCAACAACTACTATAATTTAAGAAATAGAAAACATTTTCCGTGTTTCATAGAGTTATAGAAACACGCGTGAAAGTTTGGGAGAAACGAGAAATTGCGTGATTCGAGTTTCTCCCAAACTTTCACAAGTCTTTCTATAAACTCTATAGAAACACGGAAAAATGGCCTTTTAAAAACCCTTTAAATAGCCTTTTAAAAACAATAGAAAAGATAAATTTATTGATTTTAATTGCTTTCATTCAAATATTAATTCCACCTTAATATACGTTAGTGTAAAGAATTATAATTATAAAAGCATAGCGATGTAAACAAGTATATCGCTGTCAAAACAACAGACACCACAGTATATAATTCACTCAACAACGTACATGCTTGCATGCAAATAAAGCACTTTTTATATAGTTAGTGAACGTTTAAACATGATTAAAAACTATAGTAAACATGATTAAAAACGTCGCGAGGAAATATTTTTTTAAAAAGATAAAGTCAAAGTAAAATTAAAATATCTTACCTTGGTAAACAGTCAAACAGATACAACGTGTGCTATAATTATACTTTGTGCTTTATATAGGTCTTCGCTTTCTAAGTTAGCAAAGTGTTGCCTTTTTATTGTAACGATTGTTCGGCGTTTCGGGACGTTTTTCAACTTTTTTCAAAATTAAATATTGTTTGTATTTTGTCTTTTAAACTCGCGCGGAATCCACGCAACCCGCGCGTGAAAATTCCCCGTGTTTCTATCGAGTTTTAGTATAAATTTCCAGGTGACTATTGATTTTTCTGCATTCTGATTGATCAAAATTCACTATCTCTGAAGTGATAGTCACTGGTCAGTGACTATAGCTTTTTTTTCAAAATGGCTGCTCGTTTTGCCGTAGTAACAGAGGAGGAAATTGCCAAAATTAAAGAAGATAGCATTCCGAAAAAACCCAAACAAGCTACAAAATAT